TAATTGAAGTTTCATCAGACAGGATAACTAGCTTGGATGGTCCATAATGACTGAACAAAACTAATTAAAAATCGGCATCTGCAAGAATGTCAGTTCTCCTTGGCCTCATGCTAATTTGTTTAGTTTATTGGTAATATCACCAGATACGTCTCGTTACAGCCTGTACAGCTTGTTCTGGGGTCCTGTTAGAGACTGTGTGCTTTAGCTGATACATGACTAAATCACCCTGGTGCTTACATTGAATTAAACTTGAAAACTGTCTTCTTAAAATCTCAGTCGAGTGTAAAACATTCTAAATTATAGGAAATTATATCTATCCACAAACTTCTGAAGATTAGCTATAAAGAATCATTACTTCTGTATTCCTCTTGGTGAGGGTCATGGTTATCCATTGTCATTTAGGTTTTTGTGAATGACTTGTTTGCTATCACAACTGAAGAGCAAATTTCCAAAATTCACTCTGTTCACGGGATACGTTTTTTGAGAAAATTTCTGTAGAAACATCTATGACAAGTAGGTGAGTGAGTTTTGGAAATTTGCTGTTGAGTTTAATAATAAACGGAAGAACGGTAGCTTTAGCAGTCACGTTATATAACCAGAATCTGTATTTGTAGTGTCTACACTTAAAGCAATGAAGCACATAATGACAGGTAAATGTATGGAAATACAAGCCCATCATTACAATAAGTATGTAGATATGTGTAGAATACGCAGTAACAGAAGAGTTTAATTTGGGTTCACATGCAAGTCATCATGCAACCTGCCACATTAAAAAATAAAATTAACCATCATAATGCCTGCTATTAACAGAAATCTCTGTGTGCCATATAGGTAGTGACTCATGAGATGTTAACAATGAAACACTTTACTAAAGTTGGGGTTTTACTGTATTTTCAGAAATATTAATCTTATTTAGAAACTGGAATCTTGTTTTAAGTAAATTCCATTCAAGGCATTTAATTTTGTCGGAAATTTGACAGTATTTGACTCGACTGTTTTGACTGATTCACAGTCCCCTTACAATCCATAGCGACAGCTGGCTTAACCTTGAACACTGAACACTGTGGATGTGCAAGGTCACATTAAAATATTCAGTTCTTATATTAGCTTTATTTTGATGGGTTTTTGGATTTAGAAACTTGTAATTGGTTTGAAGAAGCATTATCTATCTATCTATCTATCTATCTATCTATCTATCTATCTATCTATACTATAAAATATATATATATTCTCTGTCTGAGTGTCTGACTGACTGACTGACTGACTGTCTGTATATCTGCCTGCCTGCCTCCCCGTCTGTCTGTCTGTCTGCCTCCCTCCATCCCTGTCTGTCTGACTGGTTTTCTGTGTCTGTCAGTATCTGACTTCCTAGTTTCCTGGTTGTGAAAGAAGAAGCAACAGGAATAAATGGGGGTTAAAAGCGTTCTTTTATGGAGAGAGGTTATGGTAGTTTCTGATGAACACATTAAGATAAATGGATTTGTTATTTTGGTTACATTTGAATAGTGACATCATTTTTCAATTTCGGTACTCCCTTTTATTACATAAAAATAATGTTGTGTGAGGGTAAATGTAAGCAAGAGGAGAGACCATGACATTAACCAATGAATGTTGTCAAGACGTTTGTGACCCTAGTGTAGAATGATCGCGGCAGTGTGGGATGACTGAAATACATTATTTATATGCTTAGCTCTGAGGCACTTATACTCTGTCCATTTGGAATGTATTTGAAATGTTTCACAAGAATAATCAAAAGCTGAAGGACAACACTGCTGAAGGACACTCGTCTTTGTAATTCATATATTTCTTAAAATAAAATGCACAACGCATCTTCCGATTCAGTTGGCTTCCAATTTTGTCGAGGTTCCAAGGATGTGCAGTTTCCGGATACTTCAGTGCAGTGATGCACCGCCGTTAGCTACCTCGACAGGCTTGTCAGTCAGATCTTAACTTTTATTTATTTAGCGCAATTCAAAGCCTCTGGAAATACTGCTAGACAGGCTAAGAAAATACGGTCACTCTAGCTTCAGTGCTTCCTGTAGTTTTTCATTGCTTGCTTTGACCTTGAGAATGACAGTAAAATTAAATGTCTCTGTCTGAATCAAAATCGCTTCTGCCAATCTGTGGTGAAGATCAATATTGCAGTATTGTTTTAGTTATCCTTAATCAGCATGGAGGACTATGAATTATTTTGGGATGAATGATAGAAATATATTGCAATTACACAATTCAGTCCATTGGAAGTCATAAAGACGCAAATACATTCAAGTAGTAGCACTGGGATGTTCTAGCAATTTAATACTTAAAACTAACAGTACTTTTTGGTGGATGTATTGAACAGAGGTTGTGAAGTCTCCCCCCATGTTTTTATTGAGTTTTCTTTCTTTTTAATGCGCGTGCGAATGGTCGTTTATTAATTAGTGTATTATAACTTATTTTCCTGTTGCAGAATTAAGAAGAAAAAAGGTAGACCACATAATTTATATGGTTTTTAGGGTGTCATAAATCAGAACCAGTTCATTAAAGCCACAATCTGAAGATTATTGTCTTGTGAACAAAAAATCAGTCGACATGTTTGAAAACGCTGATTGGATTTTTGAATTTCCTGGTTATTACGAAAAGTATTGCTGTGGAAATTTGAAGAAGGATGAGCAAGTGGCTTTTTTTTCTGTGCACGTATTTATTTATTGCGATAAATGGAGAAGTGCTTCCCAAAAAAATAAAAAAAACAGGAATAAATCAAAGGCGTTCTTCGGCATGTTCCAGGGACGTGTGAGCTTACTACAAGGTTGCTGAGTTGTGTCTCCTACAAAGCTCATTCCTGATCGGGTGTAGAAGTTATGCTTATGATGAGATTGTTAACATACGTTGTGAACTGAGTAAGATGAAAAGAGAAAAAGATGATAACTCTTAACACAGTTATGTCCTCATTTTATCTGTCCTTGAAACCCACAAGAGTTTGAGCGAGTTTCGGATGGTGGGTGGGGGGGGGGGGGATCTGGTTTTATTAAGACGGAAAGACGGGATGTGAGGGTCATTCTCAGTTCAGGGCACATTTTGAACACTTTGACTGTGATGGTTTCCATCATGATACCTTCCTTTTAAACTTTTAAACATATTCCCATGAGTTATCTCCATCCATTTCTTTAGGGTATGGTGGCTTCCACCCAGACTCAAGGCCCTCAGGCTCACTGTGTCTCCAGGCTCCACCTGAGCTACTCATGCATTCTGCAGTGTGAACACCCTAAGCATCAATACCGAAACAATGCATGCCATACAACAGCATAAAAGTACGAAAACTATTAAGACTTAGTGTAACAACGGAACACGTGATGTGCATTGAAGCCCACCTAGGACCTGATAGGCTTCCAGGGTCTTGTGCTCTCCATTCTGTTTTTCTCTGGTGGCTGTCCAGGCTGCTGCAGCAGTTTGTTCAGGTTCCCGTCAGCAGTGGGATGCATGGATCCTGGGGTCTCTTTCTCCAGTCTTTACCGCAGTCTGAGTGGTGAGCACGACCTGGTATGGTCTCAGGCGGGAGTTCCTCCGGGTTCTCTTCAGGTCCTGCACCACGGTAGAGTGCACAGGTTGCGGGGTGTGATAAAGCGTTCCTCACATAAGCGGACTTTGATGTTTGTGTGTAGGTGGGCAAACGAAAAACTGCATCTTGCTTATCTTGTGTATTATCGCGCATCTGATGCACCTATGACCTATTATTCTGTCTACCTGTAGGGTATCAACAAACCACTTATGCAAAGGTGCAAAGTACCAGCGCAGAGCAGAGGAGTGCTGCTGTGGGATTTTGGACCCCGTGAAAGCCCATCACACTGGGCCTCCAACCCAAACCAATCCAATTATGTTCCAAATTTTTTACACCCCCCTGGAATCATCCTAACACCCCCCCCCCTTTACACCCCTGGCAGAACATGTGCAATGCTGGGCATGCCAATTAATTGCAGTGCCCCCCCTGACCTCCCCCCCAAAAATTCCACCCATGGTTCCTCACCCACGGATCCACCGTCTTAACAAGATTTAACAGCCTCCCGCAGTATGGCACCAGACGTTTGTCCTTCTGTACAGTGTCTGTAGGCATATACCACGACAAGGTGAAGCTCCTATAAACATAGACCCCCCAGTGAGGATTTCATGAGGGGGTCTATCCAGTTGCCGAGCGTGTTCTTGCTCTCAGCTACATCAGGACCACAGGGAGGCAGGTTAGCTAGTCCAAACTAGTCTCCTCTATCATTTTAGTTAATTTGGACTTAAGCACTCCATTAGCTCCCTGTACCACTCTCTCACTCTGGGGGTATTACAGTATGCGCAATACTGTCTGACATCAATTCCCAGCCAATTGAGAGATGGCATTATTCACAAAGTGTGTCCTATTGTCAGATGTTAATTTAGCTGTAAGTCCCCAACGGGGAATGATTTCTTGTAGTAGTCATTTTGCTAATGCCTCCGCTGTAGTTTTTCTACATAGAAGGCTTCTAACCATTGTGAAAAGATATCTACAATCACTAGACTCTACCTATACCCTCTGCAGGGCATCATTCCTATGAAATAGATCAATCGGTATTCGAATGGTGTCTGCGGAATTGAATGTCTGGATGGTCAGATGGTCTTAGCTTTCTCTCCATTGTTCTGGGTGCATATCAGGCAGTTTTTGCTCATTTTTTACAGCACAAGTTATGCACTCATACATATATCAATAGTTATTTACCCTTCCCTTCTTGTGACATATGGTCTTGGCCATGGGCTAGTTTAGCCATACAGGGAACATGTTGCTGGGGGAGGACTGGAGGACCAGAGTGGCCGGGAATGGTGCCTGAGGGGGCCCTTGACTTTTGAGTGGCGCCGCTGGTCATGTGCTTGTGGAGAGCCAATGCCCCGGACTTCAGAAAGGATAAGCGGGGGTGAATGATCGGTGTATGACACCAAGGCCATCTGGAGCAGTGGCCTAAGGGCCATGCTGCCGGCCTTGGCTGCGGTATCGTGATGCAAAGATGGGCTCTGACGCCATCGGAATCCTCATGGTATGTATAAATCCCCCAGCCGCCACCAACCCCCGACAAATTATTTTCTCCAATTAGGAGACTGACGCCCGATCACACATTACCGGAAATAAACACTTATTTAAAGCACAAAAGCACAAGTTCTTTTTTGGTCAAATAAAAAGGGCAGCAGGTATTTCCACAGCAGCAATGTCACTGCAACTGTCGTAGACGCAGTTTAAACGCTAATAATATGAAAACTATATTTACAAAAAAAAACAGTAAAAAGTAGAGCCACACCACCAACATCTTTTTACCTTGTTTGTTGACAATATCTCCTCTTTTAAAAGATGATGTAGTTGCTACTGTAAGTCTAGATTCACTTCAGTGCTTATCATCTCCATGATTTACCAGAACAACCAAGTTTAATAAGCATAAGGATACACTGAATTTAAGCCAATTACTAAGTTCTGGGTGTCACAATATGCATGTCATTAATACTTTAGGCATATTACCAATTTGCTTATTGAATTGTGGGCGAAAATAATATCCATAGAGTGCTGAAAAGTTGTCATATATTATGTAAATAACAGTTTGTTGTTGTCAAAAAAATAACTTAAATTGTGTGTTTGATTTTCTAGAGGAAAATTAATCATTCAAATTGGTAAAATAGTTGATAGATTAATCCATAGAAAAATAGTTGTTAGTGGCAGCCCTACACAAAATAAGTAATGAAATATGACGCGTTTAGCGGTGCAAACAAACGCTGTCATACTGAGGCTAATGGATTATCTCTTCGAAATAAAACTCTGCATGTCACTGCAACTATTGGGGTGATGTGGTGGCAGCATGGTGGGACCAGGGTTCGAGTCTCCGCCATGGCTCCACGTGTGTGGAGTTTGCATGTTTTCCATTTGTTGTTGTGGGGTTTCCTCTGGATACTCTGGTTTTCGCAGTCCAAAATCATGCTGAGGTTAATTAAAGTTAACAAAATTGCTCGTGGGTGTGAATGTGTGAGTGAATGGTGTGTGAGTGTGCCCTGTGATGAGTTGGCACCCTATCCTGGGTTGTTCCCTGCTTTGTGCCCGTAGCCTCTGGGATAGGCTCCAGACCCCCCGCGACCCTGAACAGGACCAGTGTTTACAGAAAATGGCAGGATTTCAGCTTCCCAAATACAAACAATTAAGAATACTATGTCGTGTATGCCACTTGACTCTTCATGGTCGCTATTTTACTAAATCACTCTCACAGAAAATTTCTGCCCTTCCTTTTTTGTTTTTAATTCTCCTTGTTTAATTTTCTGTCTGATCTTTTTTTCACTTCCATTGCTGCTTAAAACAAATGGACCTCGCGACGAGAATCTAGTCTGCTAATTCATACCCGATGTAAAATGGACCTTAAAATATGTTCACATTTTAGAGAATGTAATTAATATTTCCTCATTTAAGATATATATCACTCACCCATAACCCATCCGCTATTTATCAGAATGTTCATTTTTATGATTCTGCCTGTCTGGTCCATGGATTTGCATGCCTGCAGATATAACTGGGATTCACCCATCACTGTTGCAGTATCAGTGGAGGAATGTTCCGGCAAGCCTTTGTCAGTCGCCTTTCACATGGCGATGGAGGCCAGAAGGAGGATGAGGTTGTAGCATTCTGGTCCATTTGTCCGTTAGTTTTCCATACCAATTCGTTTTCTCCTTAGAGGAGAAAACGCGTGGGTCATGGGGAGTGCCAAAAAGTGTGTTGGCTAACTTTATAACAGATAAGAATTTTGATTCTCTGGGGATTGATGACAGAATGGTCGCTGGGTTAGGAACTGTAGTGGGCCCTACTGGGAATTGCCTTGTTTAGTGACTATAAATCTTGCACTGGATGCCAGAAGACCCCATCAGCCTTTTTTGCTGGGAGGATTGGGGTGTTACATAGTGAGGTGGTGCTTGAAGTCAGAATGCTTTTGGTCAGTAGTAGCTCAATAAGACTCCCAATGTCCTCTTTATCGTCAGGTCCCGAGGGATGCCGGGGTTTGCATGGAGGGTGGGTGCACTTTGAGTCCAAGAGGGGCTACCCCCTTGATGAGGCCTACGACATATTTACCTTTTGTCCAGAGCGAATCGGGAACCTTATCAAGAGAGGGGTGTTCTGACTGCTGCAGCTGTAAATGGGGGAACATTCGAGAGCCTAGTTTGAAAAGATGACCCCGTTGAGTGGTGTGCATCACACAGTAATATGGGTAAATGGTGGCTGGCAGCCTTGGGCTTGTTTTGACTCCCGAAATGGGGTCAATTGTCCAGTCTGTCACATCCATGCAAAACTTAGCAAACTCTCCCGCTTGCCTTCAGGCCCACTGTTTATTTTGGTATATGGACACATGGGGCACCAGGCGCCATAATACAGGGATTTCTGTTGATGCAACACAGTTCCGAGAGCCCAGCAAACCTCTTCACACGTACAGTATAGTCCTTTCTAAACCATTCCTTCTCAAACTCCTCATCTGGGCCGCGACAGCTGACATTAGACGTACCGCGCAAGTCTCCTGGCCTGTGTTTACCGCCCTCGTCCTGCCGTCACTCAGACACACGCCTCACCGAATCCTGTGGTATCTGTCCAGCGCTTATGAATGTAACATCCCAGCTATGGTAATAACCTGGCTGCTCTGGGCAGTAGGTGACCATCAATGGGGTTATTCCTCTGCTAACACAACCACCGACTCTTTAGGGGTGCAGTCGACAATGAGACTTTAACTTATGTTCTATGTTTTGAATACTGCCATACAATACACCAAAACTGCCAGAACAAACGAAGAACAGTACATGATGTCTTACCTGGCCAATAAAGCGAATTATGATTCTGATTCTGACTCTGACCTAATATTTTTTAAATGCTTTACTCATGATGGCTTCCATCACAGTATCCTGACTCAAAACACACGAAATCCGAAATGGCACAGTTCCATTTTGACGTGAGAATCCTGGCAGTGCTCTAGGTGGGCTGTTGCTCCTACCCTTACGCCTCATCGTTCGCAGCCTCCGACACCATGCGACGTGCACCTGTGGCTTGCTGGATAAAAAAGTTTTAACGAGGCGGCAGAACGCGGGAGCCAGACGGTGCCGAATTGCCACCCCACCGGTAGCTAAATTTAGCCAGCAGCTGTTGGTAGTTTCGAAATGTTTACTAACCTCTTTAAGAAGAGTGTTAAGAATTTTTTATTTTTTTTGTGTGTGTAGACCAAAATAATATTTATGTACAGTATGATAGATCATACCCTTAGTGTAATACTTTATCAAAATATATGTAAAAACAGCTTGAGTAGGAACCAAACGATCTACAACATGCATTAAACATGAACATTTTTAACTTTGCAGGAAAGTCTATGGTTTCTCCTATATACGCAATTCAGTGGTTTCAGTCTTGAGTTGTTGGATTTATGCAGCATTTGAGCCTCCATACATAATTAATAGTAGAGGAATTATGCTTGTAACAGAAATGTTGTGTAGTTGCAGTAGAAGCCCTGAAATTATGACACAATCACTCAAACTCAACATCTTTTTAATGTGCAACATAAAAAATCATGCATATTAATCACATAAATGTTGGAGGGTGCGCAGGTTACTTTCCTAATGAATTAATGATTATTTGGTTAGATTATTGAACAGTGGTAGCTAATTCTAACCAATTTTATCTTGTTTGTTAAATGATTTATTTTGTATTTTTGGGAAATCTCAAAATTGAATCTAAACGTCATTTCTTTTTAAGTCACATGCTGGTGATAATTGCAGTTGATTCTTTTGTTTAATTGTTAAATTGCCTAACACCTGCAGTTTAATTGGGTTGTAAGCATAGACAGCAGTCTATCTCACAGGGCGGTGAGAGCGTCTCAGAGTTTGAGACGTTTATAGTTTAATTCTCAATGCATAAAGAATGCAGAGCTCTTGCATTTAGGTTTGCTGCATGTTTTGACCTGTTTGATGGTTTGCCTTTATTTTTAATCTTTTTGCTTTTCTATTTTCTACTGAATTACCAACTTGTTTCACTGCATAGACATTTCCAGGGTGCTGCTTGGAATCGAATATAGCCTTTACCAGTGGCAGGTTATTTTTTTATTTTTTTTTTAAACTCACTAGCATAGGATGACAAAGTTTTTGAGTCTCCACATTCTGCAGCTGCAGCAGAGACTCTATATATTTTTGAATATGAATGTTCATTCATTTAGCAGACACTTGTGATACAAAAGTGGCCCAAGTGATATAGAAGTGAGTCAGATACATATAGCTGTCAACAAGCCAACTAGTCTATTTGGCGGAGCCCACGATGAATGCCCAGGTATGACATGTAAGCATTATCGCAGCCATAACTATACAGCACCTTTCAAACGTAGCAATAACCTAATAAAGCAGCTCTTCAAATCAAAAGATAAAATGCAACATTGTAGATCCTCGTACATTATGCAATGTCAAGGGGGGGGGGGTGCTTGACGTATAGAAAATTAGCCTCTGACTGTACAATTTACATTTTGATGATACATTGATTTCACTGTATGGATGACTTAAAAATGCACATTTTAATTACTCAGAAATGTACATGGGTGTACAGTGTGCTTCCTGCTTTAGATGTTGATAAAAATGTGGATTTCCTGTAAGTTTGGTTGAAAATGTTTCCCAGTAAATATCACCATCTAAAACAATAGGAGATGCATGAAGTGCTCTGAGATAACCGCCTGCCACTATTCACTAAAGCAGAAACCAGCCAGCTATTTTTTTAAATTGTGTATTGCGTAATTAAATTGTGTAAATTTTGCAATTGCAATATATAGATTAATTGTAATTGTTATAGGGCTGTAGTGTTGCAGCAAAATTGTATTGTCTGAATTTTAAGTCAGTTAAACTTTTTTGGGAATGGATATTTGTTTTATTTTTCTGTTTTTGTCAAATGGATGTCTGAATTACTTTATATATTCTAGTTGATTTATATTAATTCACCATGCATTAACCATGAATCATTAGAAAAAACACAATGTGCGACAATTTACAGTGACAG